TATATCTTCATTTGCGATAGGATTATTTAAATATTGTATTAATTAAAGCGATTATTATGTCAATTGTTATTATGCGTCTGTATATTATCATTCAACAGAAGCGCCTTATATGAGTTGGTTTTATATTTGAACAATGCGCATAAAGCTGTCCACCTTATCAACATCAATTTCAACTAAATTTGGTGCATCAAATTAACCCAACGTAGTGATAATGCAGTGTCAAAATTAATCGCGAATTCGTACTACAACCACGTCAATATATTAAATATACCCTATTTGATTGAGCTAGTTGTCCAATATTTTGTTCAGTATTTTTTGGCGAATCAATGAAAATTCGTTTGGAAACCTTACGTTTTATGAGACTGATACTTATAGGACTAATTACTCTGCATACATTGTCTGAAATGCATTCTTCTGGATTAACGGTGAGCATGCAATCACTCATTAAGGCACTTTGAAAACATCATTTGATTCCAGTAGGGACAAACTTATGTAACCGAGTAGTATCAAGGTTGGAATATGAAAATTAGGTGTTTTAGATTCGTAAGACTAGTTTTTTGGAAGTAAGTAAAAGTCATGGTTATATGCTAATTATCCATCTAAGACCGATTTTTTGCTAACCAACATTCACCACAGTTTTGGATGTTAGAAAAAGTGTTGCAGGTTTGGACCGATCGGACGGTTTTCATATGGCAAAACAAAACCACTTTCCTTAATTACAGTGATTCTTATAAAATACTGGGTAAACGGAATCTGAATCAGAACCAAAAACCAATAATAAGAAAAACTTACTTACTTAAAAAACTTATTTTGGTTTCAATTTTCATATCAAGTGTTTGTTTCTTTATTATTTTTGTTGGGTCTTCTCTTGAATATTTCATGTTTTTGGGATAAATATTAAGGTATTCTATGCTGACTTTATATGTTACATATACAATTTTATGAAAATAAATACACATTATACTAAGATCAAGGGTATTTTAAGGAAATTGTGTAAAGACTTTAATGCTTTCTGAACGAAAGATAGAGTGTACTTTTTCTGGCTTGGTCTGTATGCAAAAAATTATACTTTCTTAATTTATTTCAATACTTGTATATTATATCTATTTACCTTTTATGTACATAAGATATTTAGTAGTTTATTTTATTAAGTATATATTTTTCCGTCATTTGTTAATAATGTTGAATGTTGATTGTAATCATTACTTAAGTACTTAATTCCTATATAAGTTATTTTCATTAAATTTAATCTTGTAGTACTTAAGTTAAGGCTAAGTTAGCTAGTTTAAAAATTACAACTATAATTTTGTATTGTTTTTGAATATTAATCAAAGAGTATTTTCATGATTTCTTATTAATCTTATTTTGCTTAATTACTTAACAGCACATGCTTAATTAAAATCTAGTTTTCAGGTTACCATACAAATGCCTTTATAATATGAATATTATTAATAACATAACACAACTTTTTGTAAAGTTGAAGCGAACAATGTTCAAAAGAAGCTGTTATTCCGATATAGTTGCAACTTGATTGAAGACTTTTTATTCTGATAAAAGTTACCTATAATAAGGTTTAGAATACATATATAGAAAATGCATCGGTCATACTAGTTTAGCTTTCTGGGGAAAAATCCGTTCTATAAATTAATTATGATAAATCAGGTTAATTAATTATGATAAATATAAAAGGAAAATTGCTTATTTTGTCCTATAGCTTGAGAAACATCGACATTTACTACCGTACAGTGCGAATCAAATATCACGACGCCGGATATTGACCGAAATCTCTTGGTTTTTGCACCGTCGCAGCTTGCATTGATCCTTCGTTTGTTTTTCGCCAATTTTTCTACAAATATCGCGCCGACGCCAAAGTTATAGCCTGATTTAGCTACGTGTGACTTTCGGCTATTCAGCAAACTCACGACCGCTTCGGTGAAACCATTTTGAGGCAATTGAAGAGCTTTTGAATGAATGATTTTGAAGAATAAATTAAGAATTTTAAAATTGTGAACAATCTTACTATTTTTTGTATATTAGCCTATAGTATACTTGCATGTTTTGCGGACTTAACTAATATCGACACGTCGACTATTAGTGTGTAGAAACAATTAAATACTTAGAAATTAAGCTTCAATGAATCAATTAGGAAAACAAATTACACCTTCATCGACTCGATAGGTGTTTCAAAACTTTATCAAGACGTCATCTGGTATCAGGAGGATATTGATTGTCTTGTTTAATTTTTTGATGTTACTTAACTATTTTGTGTATTTATATTCGAAAATTAAAAAGTACTTTACTCTATTCTGAGCACTAGAGACAATTATGGTTGATTTTACGAAGAAATACCTATTTATTTAGATTCAGAAATAAATCAGAACGTTCGCAGAATGGGTTCAAAACGAGAGGGGTAGCCATCTCCGTTTTTGGCAGAAAAATTTTAATGAACATTCATAAACAAAATCGTTGAAATAGGAGTTCCACATGGCGTACTTAATGGGTAGAGGAAATCATAGATCCATATTTCTTCAAAAATTAAGCCATCAAATATGATGTAGCTAATGTGGAACACTAAAGAGCCACTCTTTCATACCTGAAATTGAACTACTTGATTTGGAGGATGTTGATGTGGACAATTTTTGGCGCTAAATATCATACATCCATCCGAAGCAGTCAAATGATTGAAGGAGTGTTACTCATTATCTTACATCATCAGTCTGTGGCGTGGCATGCAAGGTCATACAATTTAACCCCGTTTAACGTATTTTTTTCTGAAGATATTTGACTACTAACAAAAGCCGTAAAAGGTAACTGTAATTCTCGTAATTTAAGAAAGGAATATTAAATTAAAATTACTCTCTCTCTACTCTACGCTGTATGCGGTATATCCCTATAATCTTTTGGAATTAGCAACTTGTTATAAATATTTTTTTCGATGCAACAAAATCCACAATATATACATATGTACATATACATAATTTCTCATAATAAAATTGTATGCCCTCCATTTTACTTAATTAAATGTTTTAATTGTGGCTATAAATTTCTGTAGTTCAGTTTATAGTATGTAGGTTTGTGTTTGTAGCAAAGCCGAAATGCTTTTTTGTTTTTGCTTCTGTTTTGTGATCAAGTAAAGGCATTTATTTAGAAGAATGCTTTTGGTGTAAATCCCACGTTATTACTGATTTATATAAAATTATGGCTTTATCAAAACTTTTCATTAATTACAGAGAATTGGTCTAGAAATTTCATTCTTAAAATTTTTACTTGAGAACTCACACCCTACTGATATTTATTCAGTTCATCCATTTATTTTATAAATTTGGTTTGGTAGAAAATGTATGGTATAAATACAAGTATTGTATCTTTATAACTACCTCTGAATAAATTCGAAGCTTGAGTAAAGATTGTTAGATAAATAGGCACTTTTAGAGTAGAAATATTGGTTGGAAAGAGCAAATAATATTTAAATGAGAAAACAATTGCTAACAAAAATGAAGATTAAATAAAATATAAATTAAAAAAATTATAGCGGTATGGTATATTGTTGTCCTCAGCGTTATAGCACTAGATTTATGCACCTCTTATCAAATGCAGCACATATCTGGCTGTGCGATCTTTCTGACCCAGAGTGGAGTATAAGCAGTTCCTCGAATTACCAAAACTATAAGTTCTTCTTTACTAACCTAACCTCCCAACTCCAAACTCTCCCTCCCACAGATCCCTCTGATTAAGTATTACTTTGTGAGAGTGATAAGACATTTAAGTCTCCTCTATGGCACAGACTGACGGACGCCTACTCTGCTCTGAATGTCTCAGTTTTGTCATGATTGATTCGAGGGCGGGAAATAAAAGAATACATGCTCAGAGCACTGTGAACGCGACGTCCAATTCGGAATGATGTCGTGCTCGATATCATGTTTTCTGTCGATCCACGAATGAATGTCCGGTATCAGTCCGTAGGTTCACCGTCCTTTGAGTATACTCGCTCATATTCGTCGCCCTGGATGTCAGTGGGCATCATATTATTATTACTTCAGCAGCATCATTTGATATTGTTCGGAAAGCAATAATAACTCTTAATACCGACAGCCTGTATTTATTTGTGTGGCATATGCTTTGATGCCTAGCGTCTGGATCCATATTGGAGACGCATTCTTCTCCAGCTTTTATTGTATTGAGATTGAAACTTCTTGGTAGCCACACCTTCGGCGAGTTTAACAAACTGTTTGGATACGCTATTGCCGTCTCAACAACCTTGTGATAAGCAAATGGAGCTTTCTTGATCTTTGGATAATTTTTTATGAGTTTCTGGCAACACAAAGAGAGACTGTTTTTTTGGCAAATGTCGCGATCATCAACCTGGTACAAAAAAAACCTTCAGTGTTTTCGAAATGCCTATGTATATGGTATGGATTTTTCGTTACAGTAATATTTTAATGAATATACTAAAACTGATGTTCCTTTCATTTTTCTCATTTGGCAGACCCTTTTTTGTTAAAAGTAAAAAAAGTGTTTTTAAGGTTACAGTTTTTGAGTCCATGCGGGAGACATTACGTATTATAACCTGAGGAACACTTAATCGCCAGATATTTCCTTCAGAAATAACTGACAGGGTTTGAGCGCTAGACCCCTGAAATTGTTCGCATTCAGCTATCACACTCTTATCTTTTAGAATATTTAATTAATTTTTCAGCACCTTCCTTAACTTTTCTTTGTATTACTAATTTCGTACTGGCTAAAAGGTTTGATTCCACAAAAGAACGCATTCAAAATTATTTTCGAATATACTCATGATCTAAAACTTGTGAAAAGAAGAAGAAATAACTAATATTTGTGAACTATATACATAGATAATTGTAAAAAACTTAACAAATTAATAATTCAAATATATATATAATTAAGCCACACAATTAAGAAATCTAATATAGAATTTCACTATTAAATAGTTATTTAGGCAAATGTATGAGTTTTTATATATAAGCATATATAGTAGGCATTGAAAATGTATAAGTATTAAAAAGTAGCAAATACTATTTTTAAAAGGCATTTTGTGTAAGTTTTTGAATTACAAAACTTTTTTAATTGAAACACTTTTTACAGTCAGCTCCATTTGTTACACAAAATGGCGTGATTCCAGCATTACAAAGTATTGCAGCCATTCTGCGCAGGTTTAGACGTTATTACATACTTTTTATCACAAATTTTATTAATAAGTATGTATGTTTGTATAAGACGCATAAAATACTATACTCGACTTTCGCCTCTCCGTTGCAGTTGTGCATTTAATCTCGATCTTTCAGACCCAATACTCTCCTGAACCCCGACAGTGTTTTGCTGGCACTAACATTTCCCGTTGCGAACGTGTATACATTTGCATTCGCGTTCGCTTGCTGATATGTAACGGGAAAATCTGTCGGGGCCAGGAGTAAACCTCACGTCCGCACAAATTTATACACAATCAGAAACACCATAAACGAAATACCCACCAATATGACGGCGGTAACGACTTTCGCACACGTATTAAGACCCGACTCATTGGGGTTTAGCGGTCGCGAACTGGTACGCGTATGCGACCGCCGACGCTTTGTGGCGAGACCGCGTGCCAGTGCCGGAAACGCCAACGATTGTGTAAATGTCAGTTTGTGTATAGATTCGCTTAGTGAGTACGGGCCGACCGAACCGCGTGCCGCAGCACGCAACAGCACATATTCCAAATCCAATGCATCGAACAGTGAGTAACGTGCCGTCATCGTTGAGGAACGACGTCGTTCGTAGCGCGAATCACGTTCACGATCCGATTGCGGCTGCAGCCATGGGTCGGAGACGCGCTGCTGTGAACCCGCACCAGCGCCGGCAGCTAGACATGCTGCCGCAGCCGCAGCGGAGGATGAGGAGGAGCCGGCTGCACCGATCACTCCCATGCCACCGCCTAAGCTAACCGCTGCGACGGAAGTCAGCGACGACGTCGTCGACGAAGACGCAGAGCACAAGTGCAAATTCGTTGCCAAACCATTATCATGGAATTCGGTTGCATCTTCGATGGACGTTTGATCCGGTGACGTTTGTGCGCGTTCCAAGGCGGCAGCATGCTTCATGCGCAACGCAAACAAGCGCGCATGATCGGGATGTAGTAGCGCACTGGATTTGCGTCGATAATTTGCTGCGCCGACACTGATGCTAGCGCGCGCACCGGCACGTGCACCACCAAGCGAGAGATTCGGCGAACCTTGTGTGGGCGTTGTGGCGGGTGAGACATTGCAGGAGTTGCTGCCCATACCCAGGCCATCACCGAGCAGTGATGCACCGGGTGGTGGTGGCAGTGCGTTTGGTGAAGGCGACGCCTGCACCGAATCAATGCCTGAGTCGCCCGCATGCAAAGTATCACAGTAAAGCGAGCTGCGACGCCGTTCGCCTAAGCAGGAGTTGCTGAGCGTTAAATGATTGCCATTTCTTAAGTTATTGCTATTGTTGTGATTGTTGTTGCTGATGCCGGAGGTGCCGCTGCTGCTGGTGGTAGTGGTGGTCGAACTGCCAGCAGCAGCACTATCGCTAGTCGTACTGCTGCTGCCGGCGCCGCTACTGCTACTCGTACTTGTCTCGGCAATGACAGGGAAGATGAAGGATTGTCCATCCGCTTCGCCACGTGGCGAATCCTAATGGAAAGAGTCAGAGCGATTCAAGTGATTAGTTAATGCTTCATTAAAGAGTTACTTTACTACTAAACAAGTTTTGAAGGAAGCTAAGGTGGGTGGGTGTGTGCAGTAAAAAAATGGCACGAAGTGAAAAATATGTGGCCCAAAGTGATGATGACTGAAAAAATGTTTTAGCTCTAAAAGTATAAAAACTTTGGAAAATGAGACAGTATTATTGTTGTTTGTGTAGTAAAAATTTTCTTTTATATACAGATCTAAGTGCTCTGTTGTTAGTTAGGAGAGTTTAAATTCAATAAAGCTTATTAAGTTAGTGGAAAATTATAGAAGTACTATATAATTAATGTGCAAAAATTTATTTCTTATTAAAAACGTACTCCTGTACGGTCTACTAAAAAAGTGAAACGACGAAACTGTACGAAATCTTCACACATGCTCGGCTCCGTTTGGAAACACCCCACTGCTGCCTCTCTGAAAACGTTGCCAAATGGTCGAAATTTCACCAAAATTTCGTAGCCATTTCCGTAAGTCTTAAAATCTATCATAAGCGATAGTATCATGTTCAAGGTGGTCGAGCTTGTATAAAAAAAAAAGTTATTATCCGGAATACTTTCGTAGAATATTTCGTTTCACTTTTTTACTTCGACTATATGTATCGATTCTAATGAGGTATGTACTTCAAACAAAAAGTAGTTTTTCTTGTGTGGGATCTAGCGAAAAATGAGGTTAATTTCGATTTATATTTTTTAGTAGGGAAGTACTTTTTCAATCTACAATATGGAATTATTTTAATATATTTCTTATCAAATTACAAAATCTGTTAAGTTATTAGTAAAAAAATTTACAAAACTATTTTATATATTTCCAAAAAGTAGTAAATTCCCATTTTGCGTTGGAAAGAGGTTTCAAAATTATTTAAAAAACATGCAATCTACAAATATTAGTTCGAAATAGATTTGAAGTATGGAAATTTGTTAGATTGAGAAAAGAAATTAGTTTAAATGCTCACGCCTACCCGTTGGCCCTCAGGGCCGCTGTTTCGTCGCAACTGCACGAAGGACTCCTGTCGTAAATGTGGCTACACGTGTACATTATTCGTTTATATTTTTAACCACAACACACCACAAAACCAACGTCAAACCAAGAAAACAACAGAAAGTAGGTATTTGTATAATAAATATAAGCCAAAATAATCAAGACAACAATTACAATAACAATGGCACAACGGAAGTACACTATGTAGCCTATAAGTTGTGACTGGAGGCAAAGTAGTGTTGTGTTATGAACCTAGCTCTAAACTAAGATAGAGTTTGTCCAGAACCAGAACTCATTTATTGATTTTTTCTTTTAAGAAACTCACGTGAAACTACAACCGCAGACACCTGGAAACTTTCAATACACACCTGACTGGGCCACACTTGCAACAGTGGCAGCGAACATGCCGGCTTGTTGCAGGCCGTGCCATTTTCGGGTCCACCCGGTGCACTCTGTGCTAGGCTCGTGTAGTGCAAATGGTTGAAACGTTGTGCGTCACTTGCGGGCTTGGTACGTGTGGGGCTCTCATAGCCAGTTGAATCTTCGGATGATGTTGTTTTTGGTGAACGCCAAAATCTCTTCAGACGCAGTTCGCGTCTCTTTTCTTGTTTCTGAAAGAAAGGTGTTTAATTATTTTTTAGAAATTAACCTGCTCATATTTACCTAAAAGATAAACTGTGAAATATACTATACATTTCATTTCTTTATTTATAGTGAAAAATCTCTAACCAATAAAATATTCGCCTACAACAAGGAAACTGTATGTTCGCCATCTATACATCTACAACATTGTTGGTATATTGAATTCAAGCACGAACGTATGTGAATACCTCCTCAGTGCTACCAAGACTTCTTTTACAGATTACATGATGACAAAACATTTCTTTATGCTACAACTTTAATCTTAAAATGGCAAACAAACATAACTGAAATTAATTGTTTATTAATTTAAGGGGCGAAAGCATGCACGACGACTGGAATTTAAGTGTGCTCTACCAATTCATAAAAAGGTAGTCCCCACAATCTGCGCCAACTACCGTGGAATAAGCCTCCTCAACCATGCATATAATGTTCTATCGAGCGTATTGCTTGAAAGATTAAAGTGCACCGTCAAGAAACTGATTGGACCTTATCATTGTTGTTTTAGGCCTGGAAAATCAACAACTGACCAGATATTCACCATACGCCAAATCTAGGAAAAGACCCGTGAATAGAAGATCGACACACATCACCTCTGCGTCGATATTAAAACTGTTTTAGTTAGCACGAAAAGGAGCTGGCTTTATGCGGCGATGTCTGAATTTGCTATCCGCGCATAACTAATCCGGCTGTGTAAGCCGCGTTAGCCACGACGAATATCGCATACGATGGATCGATGAGCTCTATGAGTTATATGCCATGTCGTCCGAATAGATGAAAAAACTTCAGCTCTGGGAGTATTCGACGCAGTACCCACCGGGGGAAGCAGAGGAAGTGGAAGACCTTCACTCCATTGGAAAGACCAGGTGTAAAAGGACCTGTCTACGTTTAGAATTTTAATTTTTCAAGTATGACTGGCGTGCTGTTGTAAACTCTGTTATAACCACGTAAACGGTGTCTATTGTGATAGACGGAAGACATGTCTCCAAAGTTCGGGACGTGCGTACGCTTCGAGGTCCTAACATCGGTTCGGACCACTACCTTGTTGCAGCCTCTGTGCAGCAAAGAACGCACGTCAACAAACACAAGGAAGCTTCGACGTCGAGAAACTGCAATTACAACAGACAGCCGAATGATTTTCTACGCGACTTGCACTCGTGCTCTCTGAGAACACTCGTTAACAAATCCGTATAATAGAACTGTGGTCATATAATGGACGGCATTTCAAGCTCCTGACGTACAGCTGCAACCGAAATCATTGGCTTTTGGAAAATGCAAAAGAACAGCTGGTACGACAAGGAGTGCCGTGCCGCAGCGAAGAGAAAAAAGGCTGCCTATCTCGCAACGTTACGATCGACCACAACACGTGTGGGATACCGTACCGAGCATACTAAAATTATGGAGGCCTCCTGAAGGACAGTGAAAGTATATTCCCAGGAGACTCGAACTTGAATTTCTCAATCAATGTCTATGGCAGATGTTCCATTGCCCGACCATGATGAAGTTCGAATAGCAATTACCCGTCTGAAGAACAACAAAGCGGTGGGTGCCGATGAATTGCCGGCCGTACTAATCAAATACGACGGCGCAGAACTGATAAAGAGCTTGCATCAGCTTCTTTGCAGAATATGGTCGATCGAAAGCATGCCCAACTATATTTAAGTGTGCTCTGCCCAATCCACAAAAAGGGAGACCCAGCAATCTGCGTCAACTACCGTCGGATTAGTGCTCTAAACATCGCAGTCCACGGTCAACAAGCTGACCTTATCAGTGTGGCTTTGGACCTGGAAAATCAACAAAGACATTCACCATGCGTCAAATATTGGAAAAGACCCGCGAAAAGAGAATCGACACACACCACCTCTTCGTCGATTTAAAAGCTGGTTTCAACAGTACGAAAAGGAGCTGCCTTTATGCCGCGATGTATAAATTTAGTATCCCCGAAAAACTAATACGACTGTGTAAGCTAACGTTGAGCAACACCAAAACCTCCTTAAGGATCAGGAAGGACATCTCCGAGCCGTTCGCTAACAAACGAGGCGACTCTCTTTCTTTTGACTTCGTCAACTTACTTCTGAAGAAAATTATTCGAGCTGCAAAACTAAACCGAGAAGGTACAATCTTCTGTAAAAGTGTACAGCTGTTGTCGTATGTTGTATGATATTAAGGCTAATGAACAACCGCACCGTTCTGCTTTCTAAAGACTGGATATAATGAACGAGGGCAAGAGGAAATATCTTCTATCAACGAACAAACAGTCGTTGCACTCGTGACTGGTTCTGGCGTCACTGTCGACAGTCATAACTTTGAATTTGTAGATAATTTCATCTATCTTGGAACCAGTATAAACACCATCAACAATGTCAGCCTCGAAATTCAGCGCAGAATAACTTTTGCTAACAGGTGCTAGGCAGGCAATTGAGAAGTGAAGTCCTCTCTTGACGAACAACAACCAAACACTATAAGTCACTCATTATCTTTGTCCTGCTATATGTATGTAGTCGACGTTGTGAGTTTTCGAGAGAAAGGTTTTGCGAAATATTTATGGTCCGCTGCGCGTCGGCCACGACGAATATCGCATTCGATGGAACGATGAGCTGTAAGAGATATACACAATGACATAGTTCAACGATTTACAAGACAGCGGCTACGCTGGCTAGATCATGTTGTCCGAATGGACGAAAACAATCCAGCTCTGAAAGTATTCGACGCAGTACCCACCGAGGTAAGAGGAAGACCTCCACTCCGTTAGAAGGGCCTGGCTTCGCATAGAATCTCCAATTGACGCGAAAAGAAGAAACGACTGCACTTTGCAATTGACTACCGAACAGTAAACACGTTCTTAGTGATCGTTTTTCTCCTATTTCGTTCGCTCTCAACAATTTCGTTGTTGTCAAGTATCAATTTTATACGGGACTTTCTTTTAACAATTAAAATTATAATTAATCAGTGTTACCTAAAATATAGTGAGTTTTTTGTAATTTACAAACAAAAAAAAAAAAAAAATATTTTGCATGGTGAATCAATCATGGCCTCCGATCCTGGAGGTGGTGACCAAAACTACTTCGCAGTCTTAGGAGCGGAGCCATCACCCAAACGGAAAACTCCGAACCTCAATAATCCACATGACTTCCCACAATTAAAGAAAAACCACAAAACCTTGAACCTCTCCCCTTCCTCTTGTCCCAAATTCCCAATAATTAAAAACAAAGACAGTCAAAAACCTTTAAAATCCATTAACATATTCCTTCTCCAAAAAGCCCTAGAATCGATTACTTATGAACTACCCAGTTCTGTCTCATTTACCAGAGACGGAGATCTCCTCATTCTTAACAAAAATAACCAACAAACAAACAAATTTCTTAAAGCAACAAAACTATCAAATATTTGTGAAATTTCCGTTAATTTACACCCAACACTAAACACGGTGAAAGGCGTTATATATGCAAGTTGTCTTGCTAGCCTTACTG